AATTATATTTATAGAAATTTTGTTAATATGTACTGAAACTGAAATATGTTTAAAAGATAATATTACAAATATTTAAAAGTGAAATAATATAATGAATTTTATAACAAATAATTAAGAATTAGCTCGTTCTAATTTGTTGCAAAGTTTGAGCAAAGACTTCAGCACGAAAGCCCTCCCCCCTTCCGCAGATCCGCCTGTGTTACCGGCAGAAATGATTAGGCAGCTAATAGCCATACATTTTTTATGTAATTAATAATTTCTTTTCAGTTTACTTTCCTTACAATTCTATTGAGCTTTGTCTAATTAACCCTTTGGAATTATCTCTGTCTTGTAAGCAAGAGAGACGTAGTGGAGTAGATATATAGCCGACTGTAGTAGAGGAATGTAGTGAGGATTGAGTGCTAAGGTAGTGTAGTGGTGGAAGAGGAGCCGTGTAATTATTGAGCAGTTGCCACTCCTTGCTATTCATACCCGCCTCCTCATTACCCTAGCCATTGTAGTGTATTCCTCCATCTCCGCTTCTTATCGCTTCTCTATCTCTCTCTCCTGTACCCTAGGCTGCTTAGGTATAACTATCTTAAAACAATCGTAGAATATACTCTATTTACTGGAGGTGAGGAACATGCTTCCCCTCCGTGAGCGAACTGCGAATATGTCAGGGAGATGTTAGTGTGATTCGTCACTGCTCAATGTTTCACACCCTTTCGTTTGATGCCTCATTCATCAAAATCCATCGCTCCTCGGGAAAAGGGACCTACACTGCGAAAAACTCATCATATTGTAGCATTTCACTTGACAGAATGACTAACTCCGATTTTAACTTGTAAAATCATTTTAGTCATATTTTTAGTTAAAAAATTTATATCATTACAGACAGTGAGTAACTTGATTCCATCTTGTGATGTAAGGTGATAGGAGTGTTGAAATATATAACTGTGAATAAAAGGTGTAAATAATCAAAAATGTTGAAATTGAAGTTTGTCATTCTGTTAACTGAAAGGCTTATATATTAACATATATTTATTGGAGGAATTTAGTCGACTGTTCTACATATCATGGGTGATAAATGTTCAGTACGCAGTCATAATGAAGTTTTTGTTAGTGCCGACGTTTCAACCCAAACATGTGGGTCATCATCAGGGCTGAAAATTTTTAATACAGGCATATATATGGTAATTAATACTACAGATAATGGTTAATAATAAAAATATAGTGATTGATGATATATGAAATATGTAAAAATCAATGTATAAAACATGTAATATTTTCTCTTACTATTGCTAGTCAATAGTCACAATTTTGTAACTATAAGAAACAACGCAAATCTTGTATAAATCTTAAATAATTTAGTCAGCATATTATTTGCATTCTGCTAAGAGAAATGATACCCATCTTTCCCTCTAACTATGTTTACTTATCTTTTGCTATCTGAAAAAGCACATCTGGGGAATCCTTTGAAGAAATTTTCAGCCCTGATGATGACCCACATGTTTGGGTTGAAACGTGGCCGTAATAAAAACTTTATAAAGACGGCGTCCTGAATATTCATCACTCATAAGATATATTTAATTTTTTAGGCTAGGGAAATTTGAAATTTAACAGAATAAAGTATAATAAATTAGAGTAATATTATTTTACTCTGATAAATGAAATTAGGAACAACAAAATCTATAAAAATATTGCGTCTTCCATCATCAATGGCGTTTCATCATTAACACCTCATTTTAATTCAGGCAATACTCAGAGCTATCCTATGCATCGTCAATATATAGGGAAAAAACATGAATGTGCGAATTCCTGATTTCAAGAAAACAAGTTTTCTTTTCTAGACTTCTAGAAATCTTCCTTGTAAATATAACATTTTCTAGTCAAATTCAACTGTTTCCAAGCAATACTAAACCTTTTTGTTAATCAAATTCAACTCTCGTTTTATTTAAACTTTTCTGTACTTTTCTAACAAAAAATCGATTATCTTTTATATTGAATAATTCCGGAAAGTTAAAATTAAATATTAATTGTATTTGAAATAGAACAGGCTGAATTTATGTAGCAAAAAGGTTCAATTTCACTTCTAAAATAAAGTATTATTCTCAACGGTTATTTTATTTTATTTTTTTTATGTTATATCTGCCTTAATGCTTCATTAAGTTTAATGATTCAGCCGTTATTTTGAACTCCTTCTGTGCCTAAAAATGAACATATTCCCCACAAAACGGCAGGAAATATTTCTGAACATTAGAATAGTTTGTTTGCGCAGAAATCAAAAAGAACGATTCTTAGTCATTTAAATTATTATTATTAATTTCTGGAATCCCTTAGATGGTAATAAAGTTCTTGAATGAGGTTGACAATTAGCCATCATTTAAAAGTATTAAAAGGATTTTAAATTAAAAAAAAAAACTATATCAGCTTCATAAATTGCACTTGGAAAAATTTACATTTAATCCGGCGATTACATTTATTAACTTTGTTATTGGTGAATTAATTAATGAAGAAATAAATTTCTTTTATTTTTTTAAAGTTATATATTAAATTTTGATCAATTCATCATTATTTTTTTATTTATTTTGTCATTTCTTGTGTGGCGTTGGAAATATAGCAGCATAGCGGAAGCTTTCAGAGAAGGCACTGAACTAGTAATGGATTGTCGCGCCAAAGGTTGATAGGTCCCAAAAAAAATGGATTATTCAAAATAATCCATTTATTTTTTTAAAAATCTTTTTCTCAAGATTTCTTTTTAATTCTGATGGATGTCGGTAAAAAAAAAAAAAAGAAAAGAAAATATTTAAATATAATCATAATATCAACTATTTTTAAATGCATAGTTTACACAAGTCTAGTATCGAAAATGTATTGAAAAAAGCAATTTCTGTAATTGAAGAATTTTTAGCAATTACTTTAATTTTAATCATAATATTAACCGAATCATAATATTAGTTCTAAAAGGTGTTTTTTTTTTGTTTTTTTTTGTCGGTACGCCATAACTTCGTCAATTCTTTATCAAATCCAATGATTGACCACTCCTTTTTAAGATTCTCTTCCCCTTCAAAAGCGAAAAATAGTCATATCCTCCTTTAATTTCTGGGAAAATGGTTATGAATGAAATTTTTCTCCTGGCTGATATATTAACTCCATTATTTCTTAAAGGCATTTGTTTGTTTTTACATTTTATTTTTATTTAGTAATTTAGAAAATCCCATGATTCAAGCTTTATTTTGTCTTTATTATCTTTTCAGCCAGCGTTTAAAAATAGGTCCTAGCAAAGCAATTTTTACAAATATTTTGATCTGTTATGTTAAATGGAATATTGCAATCGACCAAAGAAAAAATATTAATTCCTTTCTTGCATAATACATAGGATCTGCTTATTTCCATATTGTTTTGCCATTTCTTCACTAAACAAAATTGTCTGCGAATTATTCTCACGGGTTAATTAGTAACCAATAATTAAAGTTTATTTTAATTGCACACTCTCCAAAAGTTTCTTGTAGTCACATACACTTCTTTGTCACGCCTCCTTGTGTATCAACTAACACAAACTTAAGTTGTTCTGTATAGGTTATCAGTTATTCAATTATTAATGATGACTTTAGAATGTATTTATCATATCTATATTTTGTCCAAGAACTATCTATAGTTTTTTAATCAGTCTTTTTTTAAAATTTTATAATATGTTTATATTATAATTGACTTTTCCACTTTAGATGGTGAATAATTGAAAAATAGTTATTTTTAACATATTTTTTAAAAGTAGAAAGTGGGTTTATGCATTTATATTTTTTATAAAACATCCCATGATGTAAAAAAAAACTCAGGAATAATTTATGATTTTTTATAAACAAAACCTAGCTTAACCTTTCAAAAGTCCTATTTATATAGTTTTAACAATGATAAACTATGTTTTCATTTAAAGTAAATTTTGTCTAGTTTACAGTGAAGCGATTGTTATTTAATTTAAATATTTGTATAATTATTGCTTTCTATTTAACAAAAACCTTGATTTACTTAAAAAGAACACGAACATATGACTATAGTAACTATAGACTATTTTATATAGTCTATAGTTATAACTATAGTCTATTATTTTATAACTGTAGTCTAATTATTCCTATTTTTCAGCCGAAAATAGGACGTTTGTTTATTTAAACTATTTTGTAGCTGTTGAGGTTCGCTTTCACTCCTCCCTACCTAAGGGACACCCAGTGTATTTTTTTTTTTTAATAGTTAGGTAGATAGAACCTCTGGACCATGTTAGAAACCGTGAGCATTAAAATCCCAGCAAAATTAAGCATTAAACCTCAGTCATTTCCAAAACTAGTTTGGATAGCTATTATCTCGTCGCGGCTAACTCCAACCGGCAATTACAATTGTCGATCCCCTGACTTTATAGGTCTCGGGAATTATCCACTTTTACCATTATTCCATCCAAAGGCCGTCGGAGAAAATCGTTAAAACGTGATCAATGCCATCTATTAACCGTCGCCCATAGGTTAGTTTCCCGATTACATAAAACCCCGTGGTGAAGGGGGGGGGGATAGCTTCTAGTAGCAGAGAGAGAGAGAGAGAGAGAGAGAGAGATTGAGTGATGGTTACTTCCTTTCCTCTCCCTTCTTCCTTGCATTAGTCCTGAGGGTAAACCCATCCACTAATTATATTTTTATGGAAATATCGACTTGTTCATAAAAGTTAGATGGCAGTTGGTCGGGGAGGAGGAGGGGGGAGGCGAGCATAAAGTAAATGATATTTAATGTATGGTCCCCCCAAAGAGGGGGAGTATAATGTGATTTTAATGAGACTCAGAGGCAGATAAAATCCTCTGCTCTAGTGAAAGAGGAGAAAAAAAAAACATCTAAGAGGGGACATTGTTAAAAAGAAAAGAAGAAAAAAAAAAGTTGAGAAGAACTAAAGAGAAATAAGAGAAAAGAATGCGGCATTAAGAGAGGATTTTAAATAACTGGGGACAAATCGAGGGGTTCGATTCCCGCGCGGTGGGAGTGTCATTAGGTTAACGAGATTCGGATGACTTGTCGCTCCTCCGGGGATGTCCTCTCGATATCTTCTCTCAGCGGCCTACGGGGTCTTATGATATGGTTAAGCTTCTGGGATGTTGTATCACACTTCCTAGCGTTGATAGAGAGGTAAAGAAACTTCTCTGCGAAACTACAATCAAATATTTTATCCTACATTAAACAATATCAGTGGCCTATCAATATAGTAATTAATTCACTGAAATAAAATAAATAATAAATGTACAAACTAAACATAAAATTGAGAGACTTTAAGACACTAGAGCCACCCTCGATTAAGAATCTAATGCGATTGGTTTCTTTTTTAACTTTTCTGTCATCAAAGAGTACCTTGCAACTGTAAAAATATACTGTATTAATTTATAATATTTGTTCAATTCCGAATTATTTGGATCAGTTATTGTTATAAGGTTTATAATTGTTAACATTTTAATACTTATGTTGACCAACGATATGCCTAACGAATCATTTCATATATTTAAGAAAAATTTAATTTATTCTAATAGTTTGATCTACAGTTTTCTTGTCTTGAAGATAGTAATTTACTATTTTATTGTATATTTTAAGCTGTGCGACTTAACTATTGTTGATGGAAAATTTCTACTTATCGTCTCCAGAGGTTTATTTAAGAGGTAAAAAAGTAGTAAAATTACTGTAAAGACAGTAGTTAGGACCTGGATATCGTTTCCACAGATTTATACTATTTTAGTTCACGAATCTGAAAAGTCACAAAAGAGCTTATAACAATAATAATAATAGAGGAAGGAGGTGTACTGGGATGGTGGCTATAAAAAAACTAAAATAGTAAAAAACTATTTCATTTAAAGCCAACGTTTCGGTCCGACTTTGCAGGTCTTCTTCAGAGGGGTGTATGGATTTAGCATGGAGTTTCAGTTGAAACTGCAATCTGAAGAATTCCTGCGAAATCGGGTCGAAACGTTGTCTTTAAATCAAATAGTTTTTACTATTTTAGTCTATTTATCATCGCCACCCCGGACCATCTCCTTCCTCTAACATATACAACGGTCAACCATTAAGTATTCAATAATGATAATAGGTAACAGGTGGTACTGTTCATTGAAGAATAACCTCCTTAATAGGTAGAACAATAAATGGTATGTTACTATTATCATAATTTAAAATTTTTATGTTCGATGATGAAATCGATAAATAATATTAAACGTAAAAAAATAATATAAAATTTTTAATATATAGCATGTTTAGGTAAAAGTGTAGTCTTTCCTGAATTTGTTTAAAAAAAAGTATATTTAAATTTTATAGACACATTTCTGATTCTTGATTATATAGTTAGGTGACTTCTATTATTCCATATTGGTTATTTTAATTTTCAATAGTCCAACAATATTTAGCAATACATAAAATGAACAATGATCAAGTGTAGATATCAATAATTGTTTTGTAAATTCCATAGCTATTGTAAATGCTCACTTTGTATATATAGTTTATGGGACTTAATGTGACTACGTGTGGAGCGTGTCTTGGCCAGAGGCAGCTGCTACTAATTCTGTCAGATATCATTAAGGGTCCTGCGTTCGCTTCCTCCGTGTCCGATGGTTCGCCAATGGATAGCTCAATTGTTTGCATATATATATCCTGCTTATCTCTAGGGCTCTTGATATGGCGGATCTTGATTTCCCTCATATTAAGTACATATCTCTTGGTCGCACGTGTGTCTTAGATAAGATGTCTTCTTTTGATGAGGTAACGACAAGCGAAATCTAATTTTTCTGAAGGTATGAATTAGAAATAGCAATATTCTTCTCAAATGAATTCCAACGTATTAATAATTCATACTTAAAAAATAAAATAAAAACATGCACATTATTGAAATTTCATAGGCTGTGGAAAAAAAATAGTTTGTGAATCATTTTATGACATTTCTGATTAGAAAAGTCAGATAATGCTTCTAATAAAGCATCTACCTTTATTTTTCAATCTGAAATTCAGACTATGTATTTAAAACACAATCTTCGATTTTTTCACAAGCAGTTTTCTTCATTAACTGATAAAACACTGTGCATCCGATTTGTTAATATTATTGGTAGAGGGTGCTGTTGTGTTTCATGAATTATTGAAGGAAGTTTTCTACATACCATGGGTGATAGATAGACAGGACGCTGTCAGTTTTTTAAGATTTTTAGTGTAGACGTTTGAAGATGTTGTGGGTCATCATCAGGACAGTTAACCAGTATTGAAGGTGTTCAATGCTTAGGTTGATGAAATGTTGGCTATAGAAAACTTACTGTGTCCTGACTATCTATCATCCTTGTTGTGATTCATGGTAATTTAATTTTATATTTTCGTTATTAACTTGTTTTCCTTATCCTTGTATGACCTTTTTAAATTGGTAGTATCATTATGGATTAATTATTTCTCTCCTGTAGACCTCCTTTTTTAAAAAAAAGCAGTCATTTCAGTGGATAAATATTTAAATGACGTATGAAAGTGTATTAATCCTGTAAGTTTTTATTTTAATGTTAGTAGTAGTTGTTGTTAATTAATTAATGTTTTAAATATTCCTTCACCTCCAGCGGTGAACAAATGATATCTAATCTGACTAATTAACTTCCTCCGAGGAGGTTCGTACCATTTGTTTGTGTCGTAGTGAGAGAGTTTGTTTACTGTAGAGTATTTTTCTTCCATCTTGTAACTGTCCAAAAATGCAAATCTCTACTCTTTTTTTTTCATTCCTCTCATGTCAGTTTCTCCCGAAGAGGATGTTTTGTTTCCTTACCAAAGGCTGGCAGATTCGAAGAAAAATATCGCCTATAATCGGATTAGACTAATGGTTAGTGTAAATTAGATAATTATATTTAATTTTTCTTTTAACGTTGGAAATAAGAAATGATCGGCCATAAATTGAAGGGGTTGTTGGGCTCACTGCCAGTCACCTCAGATCCTCTCAACCATCAACTTCGTCTTGTTTATTTACATCGATTAATGCTCTGATATATTATCGATTAATTTATTCTCTACTTACCTATTTTGTATGTTTTATGCTTATAATCAACTCTTTTTCTTCTAATCATTTATCACTCCTAGGGATGAAACAATATTATGAATAACCCACATAAAATTGCACAATTCCTTCACGCCATCTTACTTGTATTGAGGTTTGGTTGGAATGAAGCCGTCACAAACTGAATGTTGTTAAAGTCAGAGCATACTGCATCTCATTAGGAATTTATTAATGTCGCGACCCAAGAAACTTGGCATAAGGCGTTTATAAATTATTCCTGGCTTTGTGTTGCCTTGCCTTAGGTTATTTGTTGACTATTATTTATAGTGTGGTTAGTTAGTTGATGACATTAAAAAGGAGGTTAGAATCAAATCCGAATTTGTCTTCGTGGGCTCTAAAATATTAAGGAAAAATGCATTTCCCTTATTTTTTCAAATAAACAAAGATTTATAGGTGCTGCTGTTTTAAATATAAAGGTATTATAATATTATTATTTTGCTATGTCTTATGGAAATTTCTCTACTCACTGCTACCCATGTTTAAATACAACTCCATATATTGTTTTATTTTTTGTACCTCACTCTTCAAAACCTGGTTCACATTTATATACAACATTTTTTTTTTTCAAATAAATTGTTGGACAGAATATTAGCTCCAAGTTACATTATATAATGTTTTAAATGCCAGTTAAAACAGATGATAAATATCATTTGTGGTGATACGACCAGTGAAGTACTTAGAACGTTAGGATCTCGGAGTTCATTTTTTAGGCTCTCTAAAAAAAAAAATAATAAAATTTAATTTTAAAAATCGAGAATTTTTTATTAAAACAATATAATTCTCTTATGGTTAAAAAAAATATGATAAAAACATGTAATGTATGTATGTAATCAAGCTGTGAAGCTATTTAGGTGCTTGCATTTATTATATTTTATTTATTATGAAGTTAATTTTTAAAATATTTTGAAAATTTTAAGTCCTTTGATAGTGTGTCTTTATAATTATAAAAGGTTGTGAAAATTCCTTTTAATATATATTTATTGACATTTTCATCGTTAGTAATACAAAAATAAAAACAGTTTAGTCCGTGCACTTTATAAAATATTAGTTAAGCCTAATCATTTTTATTTTTTTATTTTAATTCATTTTTTTTCATATAAATCTCTGCCTCGTATCTTCTATTTATCAATGGATGCCATTTAGCAGAAGGAGATTAATTTACAAAAATGTAAAGATTAGTGATATTGGTTTTGAATTAACGTTTACTGTTTTCAACTTTAATAGAAAATCGAAGTTTACCTCAATAAAGATGATTTTTTATCAATATATTTATTAATTGTAATATTTTGTGAAGTATTAAATACACAGTAAAATTAGAATGTGACAAAACGGAAAATCAACTTTTTTTAGAAGATTCTAGGTTTTCAAGACCATTTAACTTTGACAGTTTATTTAAAAAGTGTGTGATGTGAGTTCACTTCTTCTAAAGCCGTCGAAGGGTAAATTAATTATTTAACATTTCTTTTTTTGTTTTGTTTTTTTATATTGTGTAATCGCTGTTTTTATCTTTACCAGTGTGTTATATCTCTGATGATATTCGTCCATGTTTTAGTATTGTTATATTGTTGCTAATGTCTCCGGCCATAACTCAGAGTGACAGAGCGATGGTATCTATCGCCGACAGTGATTATCCTCCCGTACATTTCTCGGGGATCCGGAACGGGCTGACCCCCGTACAGAAGGTTCAGGGTACAGCGGAACGCAGGACACGGTTAATGTACCATTTCGGTTCTAATTACCGTCACCTCATTTACCTCTACAGCTCTTTGCTTCGCTAATCTAAAACAGACCTTTTTTTTCCCTTCTTTTTCCTTCTCACCTTATTGTTCTTGTACGACTGCTATCTCCCTCGTTTTACCTTCTTTTCAGTTCTTTAAAAAAAAAATTGTTTTCTTCTTCCGCCATTCTAAATAATTTCTAGATTGATAACATTTAAAGCATTTTTTTTTTACTTTAGTTAGTTGTCCTTTTTCTTGTCTGAAGTTATCTACAACGTTTGAGACTTCTTTTTGTGGCCATCTTGGCCAAAGAAGAATTCGATATGCTGCGTTCAGCTCACAAAGCTCACGGTTCCTTCAATGTAATAAGTTATAATTGCTAAGTAAAAATAGGTTTACATATTAAATATTGAAGTTAGATTAGAATTTAAGTTTTAGTTTTGATTTATCGCGGGCGGTTAATGGTTAGCTAGGAACTGAAGAGGACTGACCCCAACAGCAATTAGAGCGGCTTAGCTAACTTAGCAGGGAACCTAGTTTAAGGTTTAGCAAGTGCTCTCATTAAAGGTGATTGTCCACAACTTCATCTTGTCTCCCTCGCTACGGATATCTTCCTATCTCGGAAGGTCAGGCTGTTATATTTATTGAAAGCGGCAATGAAGTAATAATACCGAAAATTTAGTATTTATTCGTTCTTATAAAAGAAAATTTATTTCTTCATCAAGTCGTTTAAGAAGAATTCATGTATAACGAAAACATCTATTGTAGAGTCTCCCCATGAGAGAGTCAATTGGATAATGTTGGATGTTACACTTGCTATATTTTTTATTTAATATTTTTCTATTAAAATCCTTCTCTCTTTAAAAAATAATATTTCAGGAAATTAGAAAAGCACCATTGGAAAGGGCGAGAATTCCGCTATCAATTAAAGAACACCAATTACTGGCAAAAATAAAAAAAAAAAAATACATTTTTCCGCAAGATAAAAATCATAATAAAAAGCGAATAACCTTCCTTTATTATTTTTTTGGAATTTTATCCTGTCAGCAGAAATGTCAAATCTTATTAAAATAGAATTGTAATCATATCACAGTGTTTTTTAGCACTGTGTTCTTGTGTCTAGTAGCAAGAAATCAATAATTAATTTTTATGATGTCATCTTATAAGTCCTGTAATTTCTTAAACAGAAAACTGGTATTTGTTTAATATCTACTAATAATTCATTTATTGATTTTTTTTTTATTATGTATGAATTTATATTGTATATCTTTCGTAGCCTTGATGAGGACCTACAAATTGGGTCGAAACGTCGCAGTAACCAATAAAATACTATTATAATATATAGTATATAATTTGACCGCACCCCCGCCACCTTTTCAAATTATTTTTATACATAAAGCCATGAAAATAAAAAAACATAACTCTGAAAGAAACCATTTTGTACTACGTAACACACTTTTAGTGTCGATATGATATTTTAAAGATTTGATATTGTAATAAGGATAGGTGTGATGGAGTACGGGATATCTCAGGCTTTGTAAGTTATGGAAACATATTTGGATTGCAAGTGTCTTAAAGTGGGTATTTAAATATCGCGTTTTAAATCTTTTTGCAAAAAAAAAAAAAAATAATAAAATAATTATTTTTGCCTTCCTTTTTGACTGAACACCCCAACTATTCTTCTCTTCATTATCCACGACAGTCAACCAATTACCAATTATAAATCTTTTTGCATTTTCCCATGCTTTAATCTAATAAATATATATTAAGTACATTGCTGATATTGCCTCACCAGTAAAAAAAATAATTTAAATATGTGCCATAAAAAAAAAACATATGTGGGGTCCTGCTAAATGGGAAAGTCATTCGTCCCTCAGAACTTCACTAGATTTGTATACAGGTGG